CACTTCTTAATCAACCTATCTTTTAATTATTGTGTTTATGTATTGTCGTTTATCGCAATACAATAAAGGACAAATTCCTGTACTGACTTTACCGAACACACCATTCAAGTTTCAACCGCAAACCTTGCATACCAAGGGATAATCACAGTTTGCTTGTATACTACTCACTTGAACCAGAAGAAATATTGATGGTAGTTTTTGCACTAACTATGAGAAAAATAATTTGGGTATGAAAATGACCCTCTTGTTGGAGGGGGATGGACGGATGGCTGGAGGGTATATGAATTATGATTTGACTTATATAATGATGTTGTTTTTCATCATTTCTCAAATCTTTCACTTAATAATCTTATCTTATGAAATACTTTTTTCAAGTGTCATTCAACATGGTTATGATTGTTTTGTCAATTTAATATCCAAGAGTGCGCACTTATATCATATAAAAAATTCTAACTCACAGTTAAAATATCTTCATAAAGTTTCAACTATTAACTGTCTATCAAGCCAATCAACCCTTAACTGTAATAGCTGTTGGAATTTAGAAGCCAAGAAAATCAAGTCTTGGCTTCTAAATTCAATGATGAAAAAATCTCACAGGATAAATTTCACTTCAATATTTTCTCTTTATACATTCATCTTACGATTCTTTTTTATTAACAGTTAAAATGAGGTTAAAACATAACTAAACAATAACTAAAAGGTAGTTTATGTAAAACTGAAATTAACTACAATTTGACTCAATCTAAAATTGTAGTTCCAGATTTCATCTTTGCTTTCTTCTTCCGCACGCCGTAGCAAGACTTTATCTATGCTGCAGCATTCTTCTTCTGCCATCTTCTCACCACGGCATTATTTTTCTTATGCCGTAGCATCTTCATCCTCTACCAAAAGATTCATACTTCAACAATAGCCCGTAAAGATTTCTGGAAAAAGGGCAAAAAAAAAAAAAAAAAAATTGCTCTCTTGCAGAATGGAATTCACTGGTTTACCATCATTTTACTTCACAAACACAGAGATTAAAGCAAAGCTTGAGATACCCGCAAAGTGGGCTTCACAACCCATAAATCCACCAAACTTAGGCATACACCTTTGTTCTTTTAACTAATCATATAAAAAAAGAAAAGAAGAGACACAAGTCTCAAAGTGCTGTTAGTTGTTTAGATTACTTTCTCTTAATGAATCTTTTGCTTTAACTAGAATGATAGAGAACCATATAAATGAAAGCATAAAGCAAAGTGAAATGGAAAAAATAAAACACCTTCTATTACTAAAAAGAAACCATTGCTTTGCTTTACATATTAATGCTAATAATAAAAGTATTTAACATTAAAATATTCTGGATTTGGAAGTGGGTTGTTTACTATCTGGATTTTGTCATTTTTTTTTCCCTAGCTAGGCAAAATCAAAGTCGGTGCTTTTCCTCTGCTCTCCAAATCACAGTAACCACCACATGTGAGATGAGATAATGAGAGAAATGGCAACAACTAAACCATATTGAAGAGAAGAACAAGGGGGGTGGACTCTTGTTGAGTCTCCAATGGCCAAATTTGCCAACCATGAACTTGCAAATGAAGCTGCCTCAACAGGTCCTGATCCTGTTTCTGGTTCATCTGTTGTTTCTGTTCCCTTTGGAGGTGAATTACTTGCTGACTTTAAACTGTACAAAAGAATCAATTCCATATAAATGTCATTATAATTGCATCTTCACAGATCATATGCTTCCAATTTATATCAAATCATGAACCTAATGAACCTGTAAAGGCTTAAACGCTTTATAGAAACATCCCAAAATACCTTGGAGAAGTAGGACAAAATGTAATGGTATAATCCGCACCGCTACACGTAAAGGTACTCGTGGCATCATCATATGCATAGCTATAAGATTTGGGACACGCGGTCTTGAAAACAATTGAGTACATAGAGGGTTTACAGGTGGCTGGTGAATTATACGCGCCGCTGCAACAGTATTCTGGGTTTCCAAACGCTTCACAAGCACTTCTACAAGCGGTTCCCCCCTCCGTTCTCAGTTCATTTGGACAGCTTCGGTTCAAGTCTGTAACACATCCAGTGGCGGCGCATGCACCTGATCCTCCATTCCCCTCAACAATCATGGGTACGTTATAACCATCAACAAGACTCACGTCATAGAAGTCTTGAGAGCCAGAGCCAAGTGTGAACTCGGCTAAGGTGGCCGGTGGGGTAGCTCCAGCTCCGTTGCATTCTACTTGGCCAGAGCCACAGTCGGCTGTGGCACAGGTGCCGTGGCCTGAGCCGTCAAAATTACAGCCAGTTCTGCCCCAGAAACGCCCTGACCAACCTGTTGGTGCTTGGAAAGAACGAGAAGTACCTTTGGGGAGTTCAAAGCCTGTGCTGTCTAGTTTTGGAGCGCCCAGAATCCCTGGCCACACTGTGTAATCGCATTTGTTGATGAATGTGAATTTGTTAGCTTCAACACCTGCAAGTTAATTTAATTATAAGATATGAATTAAAGTTCAATTGAATATATAGTACTAAAATTAACATAAAAGCTTTCATTTTTTGTATATTAACCTTTTGAAACGAACAGAAGAATGAAGCTCGGGATGACTAGCTGAGCAAAAGAATGGTAATTGTGAGTGAAAATAGCCATGACAAGTTTACTTGCAACTTGTTTTGTTGCACGTAAAATGAAGAATTAATGTTGAATAAGAATGGTTAAACAAACAAAATTGAAGGGGTCAAACAAAGAAGAAAGAAGAAGACAGAGATGGTGGAGGGAACAAAACGTATAAAACCAAGAATTAAATTAAAATTCCTTCTCTCCACTCTCTTGAGAAAGAGTGGATAGAAGAAGAAAAAGAAGAAAGGAAGTAAGAGAAATGAGTGGCAGTGGTGGTGGGGGAATCTGACCGATCGCTCTGTGTCCCTTATTTATAATCGATTTCCTCTTCAACCCAACGTACTTCACTTCACAAATTCACTGCACCATTGGGCTCCTGTCAACTTAGGTCCACTCACCAACAAATAAGCCTTTAGCTTATTCCTCAAACCGCACATATCACCAGCTTCCATCCAATTAACAAAATAAAGCAGAAACAAACAATTAATTGAAGTATTACACAATATTTTAGTGTGTAAAAAGCTTTGTTAATTTTATTAAATAGGTATTTTTTTTTTTTTTAAAATAGAGGCCATTTTGTGCCTCTAAAATAGAATTTAATATTTCAAAAATGCTACGTTTACAACTTTTTTTCACAAACTTTGTTTTACAATCCTGATGTGACAGTTCGCGATTGGTTAGTTAGCAAATTGATAGACAGGACCTATAACAAACATGTGGGATCTATTTACAAACTGACCAATCACGAACTGTCATGTCGAGGTTATCAGAGAAAGTTTGTGAGAAGGAGTTGTGGACGTAATATTACTCATAATATTTTGATTTGATTTAGGCTCGTGCAGGTCAATAATTGGAGAAATAATGAACATGAAACATGTCCATGTCCTAGCTAGCATATGCAAGCGTATTCTGTACATGGCCTGAATAATTAAAATCCGACCGTTGGTGAACGATGGAGACTCGCCGGTTGTTTGATGACTCGATTAACGGTGTTATATTGGGTTCCATCAGAAGACGGTGGCAGAAAATCGATTGATAAAGGGTGAAATTGTTGGGAAAGAGGAGGCAAATCACATGTTACTTTGGAGATCTTGTATGATAATAAATGCGATTATGTGGGGTGAAGATTTGATTTACTTTCTTTCAAGTAGTAATCGTATCTTTTTATCTTTCAGCAAATGGATCCTTTTATGATTGTCATCTCTTTTTTCACAAAGCTTCTTTTAATTTTACTTATTTTTTCTTTTGACGGTTTCCATTTCTGTCTATATTTATGAAATTTTCATTCATCTGACTTTTTGTTTCATCATTGTTTATAAATAACTAGGGGTGTAGCCTAGCCAAGCTGAGCTCAGCTTAGGTGCCCATTCGAGGCAAGCTCAAGCCACCCAGTACTTGGCTCGAGAGGCTCGCGAGCCTCCACAAGCTCGAAAGAACATAGTTGCAAGTTTTTCAATTACGAGAGGGTATAATAATTTACAGTTTTGCATATAAATTATTTCAATTCTAGAAACCCAACTTCTTCTTCTTCTTCATCATCATCGTCGACACTTCTCCTTCTCCTTTCTTCTTCTCTTTCCTTCTTCTTCCCTTTCTTCTTTTTTCTCCTTTTCTCTTTCTCTCCCCCTTCGAGCCAACTTACATATATCCCAGTGGCGGATCCATGATTTTTGTCAAGGGAGGGCCTCCGATGCTCCACAATTATTTGTCAAACAACTAGCAAAAACTTTAAAAAATAACAAACCTTAAGCAAAATATATATATATATATATATAATATCAAGAACTTGAGAGAAAATAATGCAATAACACAATACTTTCCTGCTTGAATAAATCTATGAGAAACAAAAATTTGAGTAAATGTGTTAAGTAAACCTTGAGCAAAACTTCTTTAAATTTTTTTAGTTTTGGCTTCCAAAGATTATAATATAAATTTTCATGATTTTGATTAAACCTAACCTAAGCTAAAGTCAACTAAAATTTAAATCAAGTCAACGTTGCGTTGACTTTTAATATGGATTAATTGTATAATGGTTTAAACATGATACAATTAATTTCATAACAATAGTTTAGTTATCTAACTTGAAACCTTGGATGATGAACTCTTTCTCTTAAGACTATAATTCTATGTGTCGGAGAAATGAGAGTATAAATTAGTAGTGAAAAAAGAAAGAAGGGGATTCAGAGGATAAACTATATAGGGGTAATACAAATCACTGTAAAAGTTAAATGGTTAATATGGAAAGGGATTTCAAAGCTAGTTATTTTACCTTAACACCTTCAAAAATGTAGTTATTTGACAATTTTTCTTTAAAGTTTGAATGTATCTTAGTATAAAGCTATTCTCTTAGAGAAAGAGTTGTCAGTTTACGCGCACTTCAATTAATCATTAGAGAGAGTTATCCCACAGCAACCCCACTGCCATGACCTGCTAGGTAAGTCATGCATGGGTACCTTTGCGCCAGTTGGAGAATCAAACTTGGGACTATGGATTGGACCATTTGCAACGGTTTGCCCTTACCGCTGGGCTACTCATATAAACCACTAATCATACTCATCTCCTCTTCAAATTTGTTGATAAACAATTTTCATATTTGCTAGCTTAATCTGGAGAAAAGCTTCCAAGGTTTAAGTCATGTAGGAATTTGTAAATATTGCCTTCAAGTAATATGTTAGTCGTAAACTAAAAGACAGAATAGAACAAGCAGCCAAAACAGTAAAGAAAAGGAGGTTAAAAGGAAATCGGATCCTCTTGTTATAGCAGTTCACTTTTTTTTTTTTTTTTTCTTTTTCTTTTATGATGGGATTGGAAAGGAAGCAAACACGAAATGGTCAAATAACTTTTACCAGAGTAAGAATAACTGAATAAGAAGGTGAAAGTGCAACAACTATTTAATAAACAAATTAGGGTTAGTATAATCAAAAGGGGTGAGGGAGAAATAGGTTTATTGCCCCCACTGAATATAATTTCACCATCTATTGAGCAAAGCTCTTAATGTTTCTGGCTAAGTTGTCCCTGGCCTCTTGCAGCTTTAAATTATCGAATCTTTTAATAAATATATAATAATATACACGTATGATTTAGAGTAATATTATACTTACAAAGACTCTATACAAAATAATTTATACGACGTGACACGATAGTATTCTTGCATTGACATATCATTCATTATCATTTAATATACATCTATTAAGTTGATTTTTATATTAATTCATCAAATCATATTTTGACAAGTCATTTTGCATAAAGTATTCGTAAGTGTAATATTATTCTATGATTTATACGCAAACATGCTAACTATATACTATTTGGTATTAATTTTGAATATATACAATTAAAACATTCTTGGGTGCTTTAGTTTATTATTTTGGATAGGATTTTGGGGATAGTATTAGGTTGTTGGATAGAGAAGTATTACGAGGGAAACTTTAAAAATTTATGAAAAAGCACTTAGGTTTACTAATTTAGTTAAAGACCCTAATATATAAAATGACAAAAACACTCCCACCACCTGTAGTGCCAGATTCCGGCCATCACAGCTGGAATCTGGCCAAAAAATTTCGTTACGACACAGACCGGTCCGATCTGTGCCATAACGCGTCATTATGGCCTTTTCCTGCCAGATTCCGGCCATCACAGCTGGAATCTGGCCAAAAAATTTTGTTACAACACAGACCGGTCCGATCTGTGCCGTAACGCGTCGTTATGGCATTTTCCGGCTAGATCCACCACAGATCTGGCCGAAAAAGGCCAGATCTACGACCTGCTGTGGCTGCGACAGCCGGAAAAGGCTGAAACGACGACCATCTTTGGCCATCAGTGACGGCTAAAGATATGGCCGTCGTTGACCGCAGATCTGGCCTTTTTCGGCCAGATCATATCCATTGTGGATCTGGCCGAAAAAGGCCAGATCTGGCCATTACCGGCTACTTCCGATGGTTGTGTGACTATTGTGATAGCATTATTGAGTGGTTTGATAGGAACTTTTAGGTATATTACTCAAGAGGTCCTGAGTTCGGGTCCCTCCTTGTTTGTTAATAGAGGTGGCCACTAAAACTCTTATTATCCAATCTGTAGTTCTAGGATCCCTGGAGGATTAGTTGAGATATGCATAAACTGACAGATAATTATCAGATAACTCCATGAGGAATTGACTCTTCATGCATTTCAAAATAAAGTCCAAGTAGCCACTACAGTAAAGAAAAGAAGAGGTAAAAAGAACAATAATGCTATGGACACCGAAAGTTTATTCCGAACAATGTGTCACCTGAGTCAAACACAGCCACGTAGCATATTAACTACTATTCCGCGAATGAATGGTCGTCTATCAAATATGGATGAACGTTCATGATTATTGGATGGCCGTTCATTTTAAATAGACTCCCGTCTATACGAAAATAACAATGGACTCCCGTCCATATTATATGGATAGGAGTATGGACGCGTGTCCATAGTTTAAATTAAAAAATTTTACATCCATCCATAGCATCCCTATTAGATGGACGCTCGTCCATCGACACTTGAGCAATTACAACAATACATAATAATTGGTACCTCACTACCTCAATCATGAATCTCAAGTGCCCACTCTAACAACTTCTGCGTGAAACTATCTCCTACTAGTTCAAAATTCTTTCTTTTTCTTTGTTCGACGTAGAATAAACTGAATAATTAACCCATTTCTCTTCCTCAAGTGTCATTATTTATAGCAACTTACTAATACACTTTCAAAGAAGTCTGGGAAATTCAAATTGATATTGAGGTACCTCAATTTGAATTTCCCAGACTTCTTTGAAAAATGAAAATCCAAGTGAATAATTAACCCATTTCTCTTCCTCAAGTATCAATGGACGGGCATCTATCTAATAGGGACACCTGTCCATAATTTTTTTTTTTTTTTAATTTAAACTATGGGTGGGCACCCATTCTAGGTGGACGTCCGTCCATATAATATGGACGAAAGTCTATTGTTATTTTCGCATGAATGAATCCATATTTAATGGACGGCCGTTCATTTGCGAAATAGTTGTTAATGTGCTACATGGTTGCGTCTGACTTAGGTGACACATCGTTCGGTGTAAACTTTTGGTGTCCATAGCATTATTGGTAAAAAGAAATCCATTTAAAGTTGTTCCTATGCAACAGTAAACTTTTCTTTTCATTGTGGGAAAGGAGGAAAGATAAAAATGGTTAAACCAATATTTTAAATAAATAAAAAAATTTAGCTTAATTATATCGAAAACGTTTTGTTTCAATTTTTTTAGAAAATTTTGAGAATTTATGACTATTTCATT